ATTTTTCGTCCGTTTATAAGATACGTACATTGGAAATCTATCAAAATTTGTACTACACATTCAATGCTTAGCCATTATCGACTGAAGCTCGACAGGAACGTGAGCATTTGCTGTTGATCCGACTGCGAGATTCCCGTTCGGCCAGACGACTTCATCTAAATTGGAGACATACAGCAGAGACAATACATCGCGCAAGAGGGTTGTACGGCATTGTACTGATGGACGCAAACCCCAATGCATTGGAAAATTTGCGTTCAAGTGTGTGCTCGCTTAGCAATGTAGAGGAAAATTCGATCATTAGATTTGGAATAGCAAAAGTATCAAATAAAAATACTTATCGATCATATGATATATGATGTTTTCATGCTTTCTAAAAGTAGAACCCGTTACTATGAAGCAAAATTCTATAATGTACTTTTTGGAAGCAAACATACTTCTGCAAGCTCCCTTTAATGTACTTTCAAATCCCATAAATATGCCGCAAAAATATCACGTTGATATTTCAGCCAAGTGCAGCCTTTGCTTGTAATTCTAGCTACACCTCGTACTAATTGAGGGACACACTCTACTAATAACTGAAAGCAATACTAGAAAATAGTAGTTCTTGATTAGGAGAAATAAAAATAAGTTGGAGCCTGTAGCTATCTCTAAAAAACTTCAATACAATTATAAATAAAAATTACAAATGACGTTTATGGAATGATATCTACAAGTTCTGGGGAATAAAACTTGTATAAGGGATCAGAAAGATGTACACAAAATATGATGTTGAAGACTTCCATTTTTTTACCTCTGTCCATTCCGTAGTTTGAGAACCCTTGTTGTACTCAATCGCTTCCCCTACACTCTGCTAAGATAATATTCAGACAGCTGCTAAGGTTTTAGCACACGCTGTCATTAGATTTATCTAAAAACCATATGCGATTTACTCGGGTTTGCCAAGTGTGGCAGCCACTTTTGTAAGATGTTATGTTCCAAGCGTTAAGAATAAAATTAGTTTTGCGTATATGACCCGAACTTATGAGCATTGAAGCTTCTATACACTGTTAAAGGAGAAGTTATCATAATTACTGTGAAAATCGTTTGTATTGGGCCGCTGCAGTACATTAATGAGACGAGCAGCACCTTCCATGAAAATATATTAATCATACTTTGCTTATTACTCTGCACCCATAAATCAGAGGAAAAAAAAGGAGAAGGAAATGACAGAGACGAAGAAGTATATGTTTATCTGACATACTTCTGCCCAAGACATCGGATTCA